GGGACACCTTGGGGACATTTGGGACACTTTGGGGACACCGTGGGGACCTTGGGGACACCTTGGGGACATTTGGGACACTTTGGGGACACCGTGGGGACATTGGGGACCCTCGTGCTGACCTTGTCCCCTCCTGTCCCCTCAGGCTGCCACCGCCGCCCACGTCCTGCTCAGTGCCGGTGAGTCCTGGATGTCCCCTGATGTCCCCCGATGTCCCCTCCTGTCCCCAATGTCCCCGATGTCCCCTGATGTCCCCGATGTCCCCGATGTCCCCTCCCCCCCACCAGAGTCATCTCGAAATTGTCACTCGGGTTCCTCACAGAGGAAGTGCCACCTCCCCATTGTCCCCTCCCCATTGTCACCTCCTCATTGTCACCTCCCCATTGTCCCCTCCCCATTGTCCCCTCCCTATTGTCCCCTCCCCATTGTCACCTCCTCCATTGTCCCCTCCCCATTGTCCCCTCCCCATTGTCACCTCCCCATTGTCACCTCCCCCATTGTCACCTCCTCCATTGTCCCCTCCCCCATTGTCCCCTCCCCATTGTCCCCTCCTCCATTGTCACCTCCCCCATTGTCACCTCCCCTGCGGCTTCCGGGGGTGGCACAAGGCAGCGTCACGGAGTGTCCCCAGGGTGTCATTGTCCCCAAAGTGTCACGGAGTGTCCCCAAAGTGTCACGGAGTGTCCCCAGGGTGTCATTGTCCCCAAAGTGTCATGGAGTGTCCCCAAGGTGTCACGGAGTGTCCCCAGGGTGTCANTGTCCCCAAGGTGTCACGGAGTGTCCCCAGGGTGTCATTGTCCCCAGGGTGTCACGGAGTGTCCCCAAGGTGTCACGGAGTGTCCCCAGGGTGTCATTGTCCCCAGGGTGTCACGGAGTGTCCCCAAAGTGTCACGGAGTGTCCCCGAGGTGTCACGGAGTGTCCCTAAGATGTCATGGAATGTCCTCAGGGTGTCATTGTCCCCACGGTGTCATTGTCCCCAGGGTGTCATTGTCCCCAGGGTGTCCCCGAGGTGTCACCGACTGTCCCCCGGGTGTCAGGGACCCCGTGTCCTTTTGGGCCACCCTGTGTCCCCTTGGTGTCACCCCCTCTCATCTGTGCCCTTATTGTCACCTCTGTCCCCATGTCCTCACAGGCCCTGGTGTCCCCATGTCCCCCCTGACCGCTGTCCCTCGATGTCCCCATGTCCCCTGATGTCCCCTGATGTCCCCATGTCCCAACTGACCGCTGTCCCCAATGTCCCCACCATCCCCTGATGTCCCCACTGACCCCAATGT